ATGTGACCCGGTTTTTTAAACAGGCCTGCTTGAGGTGTTTGAAGGTGGCTGTGTGGCGGCTTTTAGGGTGTACGAGAAGCCGTGAACGTTTCATCTGTTTGGTTTTCCTTCCCGTCTGTCTCTAGGTGGTTCTGTTGAGGGTCCCCTGCCTCCTCCCGGGTATCTCGCATCAGGGAGCCCTCAGTAAGGAGTTCGGAGGCGTTGGGACCTGTTGCTTCCTCCCCTTCACAAACCACCCAGGGTTGGATTGGTACCTAAGGGTGTTTCTGCCAAACGCTTGTTATAGTCTTGGAGAGGAGGCTCCCAGCTCTGAGGTGACGACGAGTGTTCAGTTACTTGTGCTGGAACCTAACCTGAGTTTCTTGTTGGAGCAAAAGCCTTCGAGGCAGTTCAGCAGACAGCAACATGGTTTGATCTCAGGGGGCTTGCGTGAGCGTTTACAAGTCATGGGATGGGGGACGGGCAGCGCAGACCCATCCTGTTCCCCATCAATGGGGTACCCGTGCAGCTCTGCGAAGAACTGGGTTGCCTCGCAAAGCCTGGCTATGTGCATATGCCTGCGTTATGGCTTTTGCACAAATATTTGTGACTTTAAAAAAGGATTGGCAGCTTATTTGGATGGCACGAGGATGAGATGTGTAAAGACTCTTAGACAAAGGGATGTAGTGTGCCTCTAGACTGGATAAAGCCATGAACGATCTGGGCTGACTGTGCCTGGAGGTGGAGGTTGGACTGGAGACCTCCTGAGGTACCTTCCAACGTGACCTGTCCTGTGCAGGGGGATGCTCTTGCGCTCGTACAGCTCCTGGGGTGGCCAGCAGGAGCTCTGCTTGTGGAGTGGACGTAAGCAGCGGTCCATTCAGGTGCAATAGTCGTTGGATTGGCCAGAAAGGACTGATGAAAAATTAGCACTGCTGTTCCCAAGAACAGCGGCTGGGTGTGTAGGCTGTTTCCATCACCTGCTGTAGGACTTGCATGTGGCTGGGCCCCTCGGGCACTGCCTGGTGGCAGCGGCCCTGCATCCTTGTGAGCAGCAGGGCTGTGTGCGGGTCCTCTTCCTCGCTCAGGGGTCTGTCTGTCCTGAGGAAGCACAGCTAGCTTGTTGTGAGGATTGCCCTGCTCACAAAGGTGTGATGTGAAACCAGAGTGGGTTTTCTGACCTTTTTGTGTGTGGATATCAGCGTGGCTCGCTCTTTCACCTCGCTTTTCCATTAAAAAGGCGTTGGGGTGGTGGGTTTGTAATAACTTTGGCTTTCCTGATCCGACACCCTTGGTGTGTTCACAGCAGCAGGAGGTAAAGGGCAGCACTTAGGGCATCTTGCTGCCTTGGAGCTGAAAAAGAGGGAATCCCTCAGGTATTTACTCCGCTGCACGTGGGTTTCATCTCCCCTGCTCAGCCCCTTCAGAAAATCACTGAGTCGCGTGTTGGGCGGTGCGAAGACTGTGTGAACTCAGAGCGTGGGGAAGTGCCGCCGATGGTTTGGGTGCTGATGGCCTGCTGCAAGCAGGGAGCTGGGTGCTAAGTTGCTGATGAAGCCTCTCTGGCTTGATGCAAGAACCTAGTAGGCTGGCATCTGGCTTGGGCAGTGCATACATGAAGTGAGTAAATATCCAGAAACATTGTGAGGGATTTTTTTTCCAGTGGGCTTTATTTATTTATTTATTGGAAAATACTGATCTGTCCAAACCCAGACATCCCAGGAATGGTCCAGCTCTGGCATCGCCACAGGAGAGGATCGGGTTGGGGTTTCTGGAAGCGGCGAAAGCAACCGAAACTTTGCAGTAAGCGATCACTGCTGTCTTCAGTGATACGTGAAATGCACCTGTAGTTTTGGTGAGAATTGGAAACAAGGGATAAGATGTTCTCCCGTGTCCTGGGTGAATGCCCTGATTACTGAATTCAGAGCTGTCCTAATGTAAACTCTTTGCAAAAAGTACCAGCAGACAGTGATATTTTTTTAGGTCTTAGGGAATCTCAGGCTTTCGTAACATGGGGAAGACTGTTTCTTGTTTGGCCCTAGTAGAATGTGCACTGCTTGTGCTGATGGAGACAGGGTGAAGTAGAGGCGGCTTCATTTGATATAGGTGTAGAAATGGGGCACTGGAAGCCTTTCCTTGTGAGTATTTGTAACCTCTCCCTAAGTAGTAGGATACAGTCCTTCCCTTCTCTCCCTTCTCCCTCAGAAGCTGTGGGTAAGCTTTGGCAGCAAACCCTGCCAAGCCCAATCTGTCCTGGTCACCAGCATCCTGTGCCAGGGGACTTGGGCAGGACTGAAGTGTCCAGGTCTTGGGAAGAGTGCAGTGACTCTCCCACCACCCCTCCAGGTAGAGGTTCCTCCTTCAGCCTCATCCACAGAGAGCTGGTAACTGCTGGGCTGTACTCTCTCCTGCCTTCCAGTGCTGCGTGTGTCTGGTTTGGAGACCTGTTTGCAAGGTGTTTTCTGTTTGCCTTGCAGCACTTCGTTGTTCAGAGTTTATTCCTGCAGCATCCTGCCACCACGGTCCCCCTGCCAATGCGTCGAGGCATGCTGACCAGTCTCCAGGGGACTCGCTGATGTGTTTCTGCAGAGCAAATGGGAATGGTTCAATGAAACTTGTCAAACCTATCGATCCTCTTGCTCATTTCTCCATATTCCTTCTGCTGGCGCGTTGACACAGAATGTCGTTAGCAATTTCAAATGCTGTTGGGAGGGTGCAAGGTCAGCTAGCGTTCAATACCCCTCTGAATGTCAAGTGCGTGCTCTGCCACCAGGATGCAGATAGCAACATCCCTGATGAGCACAGCCAGGATCAAGTCCCTGCGAACGCTGTGGCAGGGTCTTCTCTTGCAGCCCTTCCTGACTCGTTAGTTCTCTCGCACAGCATCCTTGTCCCGGTTGCCCCAGATCTCTACACCTCGGGTACAGCAGTTGGTGCTGCTCACTCACTCCTCCCCAAACCTGCGTGCACCAAGTGCTTGTGGCAGAACCAGGTGGCTCCTGCTTTTGCCTCTTGTTTTGCCCCCTTTCCCTTCCTGGGGGAGGGAGGTAGCCCAAGGACCTCCTGCTTGTTCTGGATGCACCACTGGCTTTGAGAAGTGGTGCCTGTCCCAAGGCGAGGACGTACCCATGCCTACGGTAGCCTGGGCGATGGCGCCGGCCGTGTTTCGGCTTGCTGTTGCTGGCCCAAGCCAAACGACGGGGCGGCTGGCAACGATGCGGGAGCGATCCTCCAGAGGTCGGCCTCAGACCGTGGCGTCCCGTCCACCGGCGGGTGGGCGGCTGGGCCTGGGGAGAATTGTTCCTTGCTGCTTTTCCTCTGGGCTTTGTTACCTTTGACTAGCGTTGCTAGCAGTAACGGCAGCCTCGAGAAATACGTGTGTTCAGACACAACTCTCTGTGAAGCTGCTGCTCCCTCCAAACCCTGTGAGGTTTGCATCTGCAAAAAAAAAACTTTTCCAGTTTGTCTTTAGACAGCAGGTAACTGCCCGGTTATCCTGATTCAGAGGATATTAGGCATTTGAAGAACTTTTATTTTCTAAGAGGGCTATTACTGGGGTTTTTTTCCAGCTTCAAAAATCCACCTTCCGAGGATTAAGATGGCTAGAAAATATTCGCCAAGTAGAAATGTGGAGTGTTTTGTTTAGATTTCTACCATTTTCTAAAATCTTATCTTTCTGAGCTTCTGGGAGGCAGGGGAGGGCCCCTGAGTAGCCACGGCAAGCGCGGCACAACTGTCCCCCCGGCCCTGTGCCGCAGAGCTTGGGGCTGCGCCTGGTGGAACCAGAGGCCACCTCTTGGTCTGTGCGAGCTCGTTGGGAAGGGACCCCCAGAGCTGGCGAGGGAAGAGAAGTGCTCCTCTGGCTGTGACCAAAACGTGTCCTGCGTCAGGGAGGTGGTCCCCGAGGCAGGCAGGAGGTGAGCTCAGCCTCTGGCACGGAGCCGGGCTCTGGAGCAGGCCGAGGGGCCGAGCTGGGGCCTTCGGCACCACGGAGTCCTGGAGGGCAGCCCTTTGAGCCCCCGTTAGCGGTGAGCGTTCGTGATGCCGTTCAGCCTTATCTTACCAAAATGGCGAGGCTGCTTGGCGTTCTGATCCAGCCGGCGCTGGATGCCGTGCTCCTCGTGTGTGTGTCTGTCCTGCCAGCGCCGGCCGCAGGCACCTGCAGACAGGCTGGCGTTGGCGCAGGGTGTGGCTTGGGCGCAGGAGGGGGCCGGCGCGTCCTGGCCACCATCTAGCTCCCTGCAGCAGGGCCGTAGTGCAGCTCCCAAAAACTTGTACGGAGCTAGGCAGGATTGGGAGGAAGGGCTCTGCCGCCGTCTGGCCCTGGTTTGTGTTTATCTCCTCTCTTCTCTGATGTCTTTCATCCCGTTTCTGGCGATGCTGAGGAAGAACAGTTACTTCTTTTCATTGTCTCTGTAATCTGGGGAAGGAAAGCCTTCACAGGCTAAGGAAGGGGACCTGACGCAGATAGAAACGCTGCTAACTATTTGATGTAAAGCATGTTTAGCTGTTTTCTCTGTTGCTGTCCTCTCTAGAGAAGCCCAAACCTGAACCTTCTGCCCTCTGTGTAGCCACAAGCAACCCCTGGTGAAAGCTGTCTCGTGTGGCGGGGAGGCAGGCGTTGTTGTGCACTACTGTCACCTGCTTAGGCAGGGTTATTTCCCGGTGTTACGTCCTCATGCTGTATCCCTGTGGCTTCCAGGATTCAGTTTCCTGTATGTCAATCGCTGCTTCAGGTACAGAGAGGCACAAGGGACTTCTACTGGGCTGGTGATAATATTTTTATTTTTTTTTAAAAGGGCAGCTCATTCAGACCTCGTGCAGTTGGTTTCTCCTGAGCAGACCTATAAATCCATGGGAATTGCGTTTGATGCAAAGGAGAGATACGGTTGTCCTGTAAGGATCCTCTCCCTGAGCTTAATGTTTTCTGGCAGTATCTGTGCAGGTTTGAAGCGGAGTTAAGAGCAGCCTGACAGGGCAAGCTGCTCTCTCGTGCGCAGCAGCAGCAGCTGGGTGATCCAGGCTGAGGTTTCTTGAAACTGCTTCGTGTAGAGAGAGGCCAGGGGAGCGGGCTGCTTACAGGGCTTATCTCTTTCTTCCAGCAAATGTATGCAACGTCACCCAGGGAGGTCCCTGTGAAGAAATGAACTTTGAAGATGAATTGCTAAACCTGTAAATCATTTCTTAGCTCATGACTGAAACCATCCCGTTAGAAGCTTAATGTATCCTATATATTAGCAGCGGTGATAGGTGCTAAAGAAATTAATTTATGGAGATGGAAGGAGCGTTGCAATTCGCTGATCTAGCACTGGGGAAGACCAAAGGGCTTAATTAGCAAAAGAGCCTTTTAAATGGAGATAAATTTGATGGGAAGTGAGCTGCTTCATTAAAAAAATAAATCCTCAGACCCTGGGATTCAGCCCTGTTGCTTGTGGAGAAAAATGAATTTGTGTTGGCTCCTGATTCCAGCCCTGGCCTCCCTGAGCTCTGTGGGGAGCTAGCTGCATCCAAGTAGCCAAATCCCTGTGCCCCTCAGCAACGCAGACGATGGCTTGGCGCTTGTGTGCGCTGTGATTATGAAGAATTTTAACCAAGCTCTTACCTGGTTCTGCTCTTCCACAGGGGCAGTCAGCCATGCCCAGCAGTAGAGACTAAGACCCCTTGGTGACCGGTGGCTGGCTGGTGGCTCCCTTTGCTTGCCCCTGTATTCCTTGTACTTGTGTTTACCCCTTATCCCACTCTAGTTTGATCTTGCTCTGACACTTTTATGTTTGTTTATTTGGGCCTCTAACATGAGGCTTGAGCCACTTGTGTTCACTCTAGCGTATTTTGATAGATCGAAGTCTTGCACTCAGTGCCTGTGCAGCATGCTGGGCCGTAAACTCTTGCTTGGAGTCCTGGCACTCTGGGATGGTGATCAAAGCCTTGGAAACAGCGATGTCCAGGACAACGGGAGCCAAGTGAACGTAGATGGGTCCTCCTGGGATCTTTTTTCCCCCCTCTCAATGGAGCTGTGGGCGCTTTTTGTTTCCCTCTCAAGTAACATCTGTGCTGTCTGCCCCGCTTTTCTTCCAGGTGCGCAATGGCCACATCAAGCGAATCACCGACAATGACATCCAGTCGCTGGTGCTGGAGATCGAAGGAACTAATGTCAGGTAAGAGAAGGCATCTTCTTCTGCCCTAGTGTGCTCTGTGGGCTTGGACCTGGAGCAGAGTGAAAGATGTTGGTGCCCAGCAGACATCTCCTTCAGACTCTACTGCAATCTCTTTGTCAATAATAAATTAAAGAATATGATCTGGGGTCAGATCACTGATACCTCTCTGTGGCACTGTACCATGCCTTTCCCTGGATGTGCTTGTAGAGCTCTCTGTCATCCTCAGTGGGGCTAAGGAATAAAAAATAAAGTCATGTTATTTTTCCATCACTTAGGGGGGGGAGAAAAGCTCTATTTGATACCTGGTCCCCAGTCAGTGCCACCAATTACTGAGAAAGCAGCACTCTGTCTTCTGCATCTTCTAGTGTCTTAGGCCTGCTCTGCTGCTCTCCCGACAGCAGGAAGAACAAAGGGAGATTTATGAGGGGAGTTGCTTATGGTGCTTCACTTAGCAACCTTGTCTCCATCGACCAGGGAGAGAGACGCCAGCTCCATGAGTGGGTTCAGAGTCTCCAAGGCTTCTCCAGGGGTGATTCAGAGCAGGGCGCTCCTTATAAGGGCAGTGGAGACTCCTCTCCTGCAGACAGCCTGAGCCAACGCTTCTCTTCCTCCCAAGATGTGTTGATACAGAACTTGCCAGGCATGACGTGTACTTCTAGGGCTCATGACCTCTGTTTTCCCAGCCATATAGAGCATGCAGGGCCTCTGCTGTGCTCTGGAGGGCTCTACCTGTTCAGTCAAGGGTAGGAGGAGGTTGTGTTAAGAAACAGTGCTGACATGGCCTTGAAACCAGGGAGGTGAAGCTGTCCAGGAAGGTGTTTCATGTCCTGAGTGAGAAATGCATTCTTTGGGCCTTTTATCTTGTTCTCCCTGCAACTACCTCTGAAACTGCCTCCTGTTACAGGAAGCCCTGGTTGCTGCTGAGATCTTATGATCACAGCTATCTTTTTCTGCGTGTCCTCCAAGACTGTGTTAGGTCAAGGGAGAGACTTGGGACTCAGGCTGTGCACTTTGTGCTGTGTGAGATCCTAAGGCGTTTTTCTGTTCCTCTCAGTACCACGTACATCACGTGCCCTGCTGACCCAAAGAAGACCCTGGGCATCAAACTACCTTTCCTAGTGATGATCATCAAGAACCTGAAGAAATACTTCACTTTTGAAGTGCAGGTGAGGAGCATGCAGCGGGGAGACCCCTCTGGTGACCAGTGAGGAAGATGCCAGGGAGCCTGCAGTCTTGTGTTGGAACTTGTCCTAAGTGGAGACTCCAAAACAGTTTTGCTTTCTTGACCATATGATATGTCAAGTGTTCTGCTATGGGGGCATCAGTCGGCTCACAAGCACATCGTTGCTATTCTGGAAATTGGGTCTGTTTCCTGTGTTAAAAATAATTCTGCTGTGAAATGGAGGGGTGGGAGTAGGAGGCCCCTCTCTCAGAGACAGTTAGAGCCTGAGTCTAGAACAGCTGCTGTCTTGGGGAGCTGGGGGCCCCTGACGCCGGGGTCAGCAGCCTTCCTTCCTCGCCCCAGGTGCTGGATGATAAGAACGTACGCCGACGTTTCCGGGCAAGTAACTACCAGAGCACGACTCGAGTGAAGCCCTTCATCTGCACCATGCCCATGCGGCTGGACGATGGCTGGAACCAAATCCAGTTCAACCTGTCGGACTTCACACGCCGGGCTTACGGGACAAATTACATTGAGACCCTGAGAGTTCAGGTGAGAAACAGGCATGTCCTGCCCACAGAAACTTGGGTGAGTGGGTTGGTTGGTAAAGTGGTGGGTAAAGCTTGGTTGGTAATCTTCCTGCTGGCTGGGTCAGCCTTGCTGTGGACTGGGAAGCGGGTTTAGCCCTGACTGGTTCCATTGCCAGTCCTGGTTTTTGGAGGGCATGGCAGGGGCTTTTTTTGGAGGGCATGGCAGGAGGGGAGCGACGGCCCGACCCAGCCAGCCGAGGTCTTGGTGCTGCCTCGCTTCACTGGACTAGACTGGGATGAAGAAGCCCATTTCCATCTTGTTTCTTTTGCTGGCTGTGAGTTAGGGGAAGAGTTGCAGTCCACCTGAGGTGTGCCACGCGTCCTGCTGAGCGGGAGTCAGCTGGAAATTAGCCGTCTGCTGCCTTACTGTCCAGATACTCCCAGTCGTTGTCTGACATATCTAGAGTACCAGTCAAGTGGGAGCCTGGCTGGTAAAGACCCAGGGTGTAATGATCCGTACATATCCCCGGTCAAGCTTGTTTCCTAGCACAGGTGGAGTGCCCCTGCCTTCACCGAGCCCCATGGACCAGAGCTGATGCAGTTTTTGTTCCTGCTGCGAATGTGAAACTTGTTCCATATGTTAGGGATTCGTGTTCGCTGTGTCCGGTGGCATGCGTTATTTTTAGGAATGCCCATGTGCGGAGCATGCCTGCTCCTTACTGTGCTGGGGCTGCTGTAGTTCCTTGTGGGGTTGCCCTGAGATGAACAGGCTGTCAGCTGGGAAGGGTCTGCCTTCTCACGTACCCCTGAGGGAGACTGGAGTGACTCCTTCGCTGCCAGCTGATAGTGGAGGCAGCACGGTCTGGACAGTCTCATTCCTGACCCCAGGGAGGCCCTGAAGAGGCAGTGTTAAAAATGCAGCAAGCTGAGGCTGAGAGTGTTCTGGCAAATGCTGATACCAGCAGAGAAGGAAAGGTGGGTTCACAGCAGAGAACCCTCTAAGCAACTAAGGCAGATCTCAGTTTGCAGAGATGCCAGAGCTTGGCCGAATCTCTTGAGCCAGCTTGCGTCACTGGAGGGAGAGCATCTAATGTAAAGCAGAGGGCATGGGTCAACGTTTCTTCTCTGATGCCCTGTCAGATTCAGAGAGAGGCAGTGAGGTCTCCTGTCCAGCTGCTGAGCCAAGGGATCCAGGCTGCTGCATGACAGCGAAGCTGGATGTGGAAAGAGCCTATGGAAGACTGACTCTTTGTTTTGACTCTTAGATCCATGCCAACTGTCGCATCCGACGGGTGTACTTCTCTGACCGGCTCTACTCAGAGGATGAGCTCCCAGCAGAGTTCAAGCTATATTTGCCTGTCCAGAACAAGGCCAAGGTGAGCTAGCCGTGGGCAAGTAGGGTGGGAGCAGCAGCCATGCCAGGCTAGCGTTCCTCTTCCTCCCCCGCTGCCTTCAAAATCCCAAGTTTCTTCTAGCCGCAGAGCCATTACCAGCTTTGGCTGTCAGCCAGGGAGCACCCTCTCTGTTGCCAGGGTGAGCAGTCTGTGGGGGTGCCTTGCTGAGCCGCTTTCCTGCCAAAACACATGGAAGTTGTCATTCCCATCTAGGAGCAGGGTGAGCTGTGCAGCTGCGCCCCACGTCCTTCCTGTTTGTCTTGAAGGACTCTGGGCAGGGTGGCAACCTCCCGGCATCTCTTGGGAGCTGGCACCCATGACTCAACACAGCGGCTTTGCTCTTCAGAGCTAGCTGCAGCTCCACACTTGTCTTCCAGGAGAGATGCCATTTGTGTCCCTCTAGCCCAGATTTACCCCCCTCTGATCTCTTCCCTGCTCAGTGCAGGCGGTGGCGCTCTGCAGTGGAAAGGGCAAGGTTGTGGCTGCCTAGCAGGAGATGCCAAACTCTGCTCTTACGGGGATGGGAAAGGGCTCCCTGACATATTGACAGCAGTCTCGAGGCTTGTGAGGAAGCACCTTTTTTGCCAGGGCCAGCCTGTCCCAGTGCAAGTGCTGCTTTTAGCAGAGAAAGTTCCTGGGCGAAATTTCAAGATGCTGAGGGAGGATGTTGGGTGCTGATCTTGGCAGGAGGTAGAAGGCAGTGTTAACAGTAGGTGACATCTCTGGGGAACCTGTCACTGCCTTCTGGGCTGTAGCAGCCCCCCAGGGGTGTCTGGGGAATGCTTGGAGCCCTCTCAGCACAGTTGTATTGGTGCTGCCAAGTCTAATAAATGTTTTCTTTCTTCTCCCTGCTCTGTCCAGCAATAACACCACGTTGGGAAGAGATGCGGGAAATACTTGGGGTCAATAGGAAAACAAAAGCAGGTAGAAGAGAAGGCCCTGCTGAGACCAAGTTTTAGATCAGCTCACCTTGCCTAGGGTAACTTTGATTCATCTGGTATTCCTCTTCTGGACAGGACACAATTAACCTTGTAACAGGTCTGAGACTATGTTGTTGGTGCGTGAGTTGTACAGAATCAGAGTTTTCCTACCTGCTCCTAAAGTGCTGAGCCTAAACACTGCAAGTGGCCTGGTACCTGATCTTGTGTTGCACAGAGAGGTTGCTCAAAGTGGCCCCTGTGCCTCCGAAGAGGGGATTCAGCAGGGATTATGGGGTTAAGTGTGCCCTCTTGAAGACACCAGTTTTATTTTTTCTTTCCTTGTTTTCCATCTCATTTTATATATGCTCTAAATATGGATGTAATACTCACTCTTGGAAAGCTATTAAACATTTGACTCTGTAAGCCTGCTTCTGGCTTCTTCCTTCTTTGATGGATCCTTTGACTTGTACATGTAGCGCTTCAGAAAGTGCCAAAGAATTTCTTTAAGAACCCAGACGTTAGAATTTGCCTCTGAATTTGACTTTGATTGGCAGCCTCGCTGTTTAAGGGATAGCACAGACATGAACAACTGTAATCTGGAGAGAGGAAAAATAGTAAGGTTTCCATAGAGGAGATAGGATCTGTCTCCAGTCCGTGAGGTTTGTGGTACTTTACCTATGACAAAAACTCACGCTGTTCATTTCTAGTACGTGGAAAAAGGTTTTTCATTCCTGTCTTACTTGAAACTGTTTTCCCAGCAGTGACAAATTGGTCTTACCTGCCTGTTAGGGCACAGCTCTGTTCACTGTGTAGTTAAACAACTCACTCCAGCTTTCAGCCAAGCCGTTAGTAGCTACTTATAGCAAGAGGCACACAATAGTCTTCCAGCTGCCAAATTGTCCCTTTCCCCAGGGATCAAAGGAGAGGTTTAGCAAAGCGGAAGTCTTTTCCTGTGCTGAGGCTGCCCTTCCCTGCCTCAAACCAATCTGCCTTTGTTATGGAAAGGCTTGTGAAGGGGAGGCTGCAGACCTCTGCCAGTAACGGAGAGAGTCTGGGAGTAGCTGATGCCTTTCCTCCCTGGGGACAAGCCCCGCGACAGCTACTCCGGTGAGTAGGTGCCTAAGGTGGGCACTGATCCTTCCCTGGTGTTGGGCTGTGCCGTGAATTGGGAAGACTTCGCTTTCATTATTGTCCCGTAAAACAAAGGTGGTCTCTCCCAGGAGGAAGAGAGCCTGTTGGAGGACATCTGCCCCAGATTCTGGGTTTAATCCTGACCACTGACTCTCCACCTGGTTTAAAGGTTTGGCATGTCTGAGCACCCTCACGGTCAGCACCTCCTCTGTATGGACCTCACTTTTTACCTCTGTGGCAAGCTCTCAGGACAGCCCTATTACAGCTACCTCGTTTGCACCTTTAAAGCTAGCGGGCTTTGAACTGGAGGCACTGGCCCTATGCTGCCACGTGGTGCTGGATTGCACTTGCAGAAGGCTTTCTGGGCAAGACCTTTCCCATTTTTATAGCTAGCTGGGTCTAAGGAGCCAAGCGGAGGAAGCCCACATGGGGAGGCACCATCCATCTTGCTTTTGATGTCTGTCAAGGCTTGGCTGGACTTGAGATTTGTTTAAGTGGAATCGCACTGTATTGTGTGCCAAGGATTGGCCCTCACGAAGTCCACGGTGAGGCTTTCCTGCCACGTTTGCAAAGCTTGCCAGGGCTGGGGGAGCTGCTGAGGGAATCCATCCGACCCCGGCAGGGTAAAGCGTCCATCCTTTCCCCCAAGCCCTTGCTCAGGAGCCTGTGTTTTTGGCAGTCGTTGGTGGCTGAGCACTCTCCAGGAGCTGCTGCTGCCTTTCCCTGCCCCTCTGGGGCCCGTGCTGTAGTCGTCCCTTGTCCTCGAGGAGTTGGGCTTGCTCTGCGTGAGTGACCTTAATGTGTTAAGAGGGGCTGGACTCCCCAGGGCCCTGAGCTGGCTGCCTCTGCCAAAGATTAGACGGGCCCTCCTGCCAATTCCTGCCTGACCTCTAGGAGCTGTGCCAGCGGATTTGCTGGAATAAACTCCCAGTCGCAAACCCTTGCATCCATGTGGACCCTCGGTGTATTTTTGAATATGAAACAAAATACTGAATCTGCCTGTTTACTTGCTGCACAAAGTGGAGCATCATCAGATACTGGCTCTTTCCTTTAGAGCCAGATGGCAGTGGATTTATGCAGTGTTCTTCAAAAAACTTTCCTCTTCTAATTCTCCCCTCCCATCAAAACTTTAACTGTCTCCCTGAAGGTGAGTGAAGTCTGGATGCTCTCCCTGTGGGAGATGGCGGATAGGCCAGAATGTCACAGGCATCCCCTCGGCAGTCATTTCCTAGAGTAGATGTGCACAAGCAAAACGGTGATGAAGCGCCCAGCTGCTTACTGCTTTGGTTATGGCTCTTGACCTGGCTGGTTCACGACGTCCTCCTACATGGAAAGAGAGGTGGAAGGCAGGAAGGACGTGGGTGTGGAGATGGGAGTGTGCCCCGAGGACGGCTACCACCGGCGTGCTCCCAGGGCAGCCCCAGCTTGGCAGGAGGGGTGAGCAGAGGGGGAGTCCTGTTTCAGTGCAGGCAGCCTACAGAGAAAAGGTCTTAAATATCTCCTCGTTCACCTTTCTGCGGGTGGCCTGCTCCTTCCCTCCTGCCTAAGTCCTTATTGCAGTTCACATCTAGTGGGAGAGAAAGGAATCTTTCTTCGCGGTGAGACCTGGATTCGACCTGGATTCAACCTGGGCCAGAGCGGGGCCCACCCAAAGATGAGTTTTCCTTGCCTTGGCCAGCTTTTCACCTTCCTCTTCCTTTGAGTGGGGCAAGGTCCTGCACTTGGGCACTTTGATGAGGACCAAAGTGCTGGGAGCCTGCTTTCTACATCAAAGGCAAAGCTTCCCTTTGAAATCTTGGCCCTTGAAGGATGGCGAGCGCCCGGGCTGCAGCACCTCGGAGCGAGGGACCAGAGAGCGACCGTCCCTGGGTTGAGCCAGGGAGCGGACGAGCTCGGCCCGAGCTGGGAGCAGCTGGCGGTCACCGCGTGGTGCCAGCCAAGGCTGGGCCGTCCCTGGGCTCCGGTGGCAGCAGCTGGCAGGGGAAGCAGATGAGGGTTTTTTCCCCTGAAATCTTTCTGTCCGTTTGCTCTCCTGCTGGGGCAGAAGCGGGGTGGGTGAGACCCCAGCCCAGCAGGGTGGCAGGACACCGGTACGGGCCTCTGTCCCTGCCTGTGGCTGTCCCCGTGCTCCTCGTCTCCTTCCTATCCAGTGGGTCCTGACCCAAAGCCCAGAGCTGTGATCACAGAGGTGATATGCTGGAATGAAACAAATCTGGGCCAAACTCTCTGCTGTTTGCCCTCTCTGCCTCCTGTTCTGCATCTCCCTGGATGTCTTGGGCCAAATGTTGTCATCTTTATAGAGGGATTACACCTCCAGGGTGATGGTAATCCCCTGCAGCTGCTGTCTGGTGTGGGACAGGCGGTGCTGGAGGTGAGGGAAATATTTATTTTGAGTTTTGCCATTGGCCACCGCCCAGGAAAAACGAGTGACCGTACTGGAGGCTTTGGCCACTTCTGCAGGCGGGGAGAGCTGATCTTCCTGCCCTGCCGGCGCCTGCGGGAGCGGGGTGAGAGCTTCCCCTGGCCTGCTGCAAAACGGGACCGCCCAAGCAGGATTTTGATTTGGGTGAGGGAGTGGCTGCACACCCTGAGAGCTACCCTGGGACGTGATGGGGAACGCTTCGGGGCTGCTAGAGGTGAGATGATGGATGCTAAGTTGTGCTGAAGCAGACCTGCAGACCGTCTGCTCCACCGTCACCTCGTGTGTTGCCCCTGCAGCCCCAGAAATGACGTTTCTCCCCGTGAGACAGAGGGTCTGGCACCACGAGGAGCGCGCTGATGGCTGCCCGGTGGGGGCGAGGGGAGGTGATGGGCACGACCAACGCACACGTGTGCCAAGTGTCGCTGGCGGCCGCATCCTACCCACAGCGGGGCTGTGCTGGAACCGACCCCTGCCCAGGCAGCACCTGGAGCCTCAGTCCTGCCTGCAGCGTGCACAGACAACAGGTCCACCCCCTCCCAGGGCCCCGCAGCTCTTCCCTCCGTCCCCAGCGTCGTTTCCTCCGGCCTTGAGCCCGGCCGGTCACTG